CATGTTCGCTTAAGCTGCCTGGCTGCCGGCCGCCATCTTGGCTGGCAGTTAATTTGCATATCACCCTGATTAGCCAATGGGAAGGGTAGCGGTCGTACGCTAATTACCATGTTTCTCTTTTATTAGATAGGATTTTTATTGTTGACAGTATTACAGATGTCTCCCTTCCCCCACACCCCTTAACCCTCCTCTGCCCAGCCCCTACCCACAGGAGTTCTTCTAGTTTTATGATTAGGTTACAAGAGGACAACAAAGTCAAAAGATAGTTTCCCTTTCCTTTTATGGGTTTCTCCCTGTGGAAGAGACTTACAAGTCATCCTATTTAGATTTTAATAACTAATTCTTTAATATAAACAGTAATGAAATTCAGAGATAACTTTGTGGTATTAGCACAAACTGACCTGAGAAATGTTTTGAGTTCTATTAGTTAGAGCCCATCTAGTCCAGTTAGACAAAGTAGTAATTAGGCCACCCCACCCTGTCTGGGTCTTGGTGGGAAGTCAGTTGATGAGGGTCCCTTTCAGCGATATAACAGCTTTGGAGGGAGATGGACTAATGAAGAGATAAATAAGAGCTGGGAGGGATGATGAAACACCAATTTCCATCTTGTATGTTGTCGTCCACAGACACACGCCTACTCCTGGTTCTCCGAAGCACCAGCAACCCAGGATCCCAGTAGCTGAGCCATGGTCTAGCACAGTGGCATGCATTACTCCTGTTTTACATAAGTCAGGGAAAGACCTCAGTGGACCAGCTCTTCAGTTCGACATAGACAATGGCAGAATCAGCAATAAAATCCAGGTGCAGTGGCTTCAGGTAAAAGCCATCACTACAAGGCAGTTTTATTCTGGTATCAGGTGGCCATGTGATTTGGGTCAGCCTCACTCAAGCACCAGGGATGTGAATCCTGATTAGTTTTAAGTCGATATCCAGGCCAGGTACTGTGGTAGGAATGGACAGATGACATAATCATGGCCAATAAAACCTGGGGGTTAATTTCCTTAGAATGCTTCTGGGAAAGGGTTTATTTGCTCTTTAAAAGGGCGGTGCACAAGAAAGAGTTCTCTTTTTAAGGGCCTACATGTTGCATGAGGGTTTGGTGCTTAGTCCCTGTAGCCATCTAGCACCTAAGAAAACAAAACCAAGGATTACAAAGTAGAAAAATAGACAGAATAGAAACATGGAAAGAACTTGCATCCTTGATGTTTTTGATACACTAAATTGACTACCCTGGACCGTCTCTATCTTGTGTCTTAATGTTACACCAGACATTCATTTTCCTTATTGTTGAATGTATTTTTACTTCTGTCTTCGGACATTTGCCTTTAAAAGTACCCAGTGGCAACTGTCACTAGCTCCCCATGTATTTTTCTGAGGTTTAGACGTATGTGAGGTAATTTGTCAATAAAGCATGATATGATTTGGGGAAATAGGAGCCCTGGACTTGGGTCCAAGAGCAATTTATTACCTATGTCTGGATAAGTCATACTCAGCCTCATGTTCATCATCTGTAAAATGATGGCAATTATATTTATTTCACAAAGTAGTAAAAACTAAAATGAATAATGTAAGTGAAAGCATTTTGTATACAAATGTAAGTTTATCACAAGATGCTTTCAAAAGAAGATGATTTTACAGTCTCCAAGTTTGCGCCAATGTCCAAATTTTGACATCGTGTTTTCAGTTTTGCTTTCACCATGGCATTTTTGAGATGATGTAAGCCAGGGAACAAGTAGGTTTTCTGATTTGCTCCTTTTGAGCTCTGCAGAAAGAGTATCATGATTATCGGTGTGTTTCATGGGACAGAATGTAGTGGTGCGTGGGTACTTGGGCCACTTAATAGTTTCCATGCTATTTTGAGGCATTTTCAACTTAATTTTGAAATATTTTCCATTTCAATTCTACTTGCTAATTTATTTTGGCCTAGTGGGGTCATTGTATATAAACCTGTACAACTATGTTGAATGTTTTAACATAAACCAAATGAAACATCAAAATTTTATTTTGTTCTTGATGTGATCTTTAAGTGTAAAAATTGAATACATTAACAGATTAGTCTTTCTTGAGTTTTGGATAACACCTATCTCAAAACTCAAAAACGAAACAAACAAAAAAACCTCACCAACATAAGTATTATAAACATAGTTTTTATTCTTTTCTTACCTTCATTGAAAAAGGCCTCATGCCACCAAAACATTTTTTGAAACTCAGTAACTGAATGAATACAGAACTCAAGGGCCTGATGATTATTTTTCTAAACTGCTGCATAATTTATATTGCTTTTTAAAAAATAACTAAGATCTATTTTTACTTCAATTCTTTTTAAAGTAGCAATATCCCCTCACATTTTTTCATAAAAATCTAAAATATCTCTAGTAGTCCCAAGTGTCTTATATTTACATTTGTTCTAAGTGTTTGTTTCATTAAAATTTCTCAGAAATAAGTGCACTTCTAAAGAGAAAATAAAATTTAAAGACAAGAGGAAATCATCACAGTTGTAGCAAAACAGTTATTTTGAATGCTCTGAATCTTAGCAATTCAAAGAGAAAATGTGTTTAGTAGCCAGGGACCTCTCTACTGATTAAAATTTCAATTCATTCATTTGTAGATCATCAAAAGAACAGCTGTATTTCCTACCAGTACAGACTGATTGATTGGTTGTTTAAGGGTTTTCTACAACGAAACACCAAAAATAAATGTACTTAAAATATTTTAAAATTTACCAATTTACACAGAGATATACAGGCGTTTACAAAACAGAAAAAGTATGCTTTTATAGATAAAAATGAAACACAATCTTAAGCCTTAGCAATCAAAGGAAGTTTTGAATATTCCACATTTGTTATTTTCCATTCAACTAATAGCTTATTAAGTCAGCGATATATTTAATTCAGAAAAGGTTGATTTATAAGAAATTCCTTATATTCAGATAGGACTATGCTTCAATACACTTAAAGATTTAAAGCTATGTTAGAAAAGCATAAAAGAAAAATAACATAACTTGCTTTAATACAAAGGTTTTCTTTAATAAAAAAGTTGGTCTACATTAAATCAGGAAATCAATAAATCTGAATTATACAAGCTTTCTATATACTTAGAAAAACCAAAAACACAGTTTATAATAAAACTCTTTAATTCAAAATAGAGTCTAATTTAAAGAAAATATCATTATGCCCAGTTGAGTAGATAGGGTTTTGTCATTTAAATTAAATCGTTCACCTGAAATATGGAAATGTACAATAGAGAAAATTCAGTCGCAAAGGTACTTCACAAATTATCTAGCTAACTTGCATCATGAATCAAATTCTTGTTTCCAAAGGGCAGACACAGTCTTTAATTGCTTGTAGATAGGCACTTAAGAAATGCTTTTGACGAGGAGGAAACCCCAAAGATTGTGAATCACTCTGTTGACTCCAGGGAAAACTGAGAAACTAAACAAAGTGAACTCCCTGAACTGCCTGCCTTTCACTGCTAGGAAATCACAACTGTTTCCAAGTTCTGCCTGTTAACAAGAATGAAGAAGGAAACTAAAATGCTCTATTCTTAGTCAATTAAGAAGTAAAGCTAATTCAGCTCCTTTATCTCACTCTCTGTCAACTTGAATTAGTGTATTTTTCTGTATTAGAATAGCTACCATATTAGAACTAGAGAATGTTGCAATTTCCTCATATAGTACCCATTCACTACTACACCAGCTAAACAGTCGTTTAACAAGGAAGGAGCGGGTGAGTGGGAGTGAGGAAAATTTCATAAATGTGAGCAGAAGTTAAAGGTGGTTATAATAAAAACTGAGTTGGTACAACTGAGATAACCCCAGAATTTTAATAGTTCTCTCTCCTACTCAGCCACATGACTCAAATAAGAAAATAGATATGAACTATTAGAGGAACCCATAACAAGTATCAAACAAATACTAGAATGAAACAATTTAAGGGAGGAAGGGAAGGAGGAAGGAGGGAAGAAAAAGGGAGACAATTTTTTGGGGGGGCGCGGTGGGGGACAATTCCAAGTATGGCCTTTTTGAAACATCGTGGAACTACCTAGCAGCAATATTTATAAAAACATTTGTAGATTTGCATAATAATCCTATGTAGTTCTTCCCAATTAAGAAGAATATTCCTAAAAATAAATCATCATTTTAGATTTTGATCACAAATCATTTGTAATGTTATAATTGTTATATCTTTAAAAAATCGTATCAATAGTTAAAAGGAACATTAGGCCATTCTTTAATAAAGACTTATTCTTAAGTACTTAAAAAATCAAAACCACAGAGGGTCGTTTTAGAATTAAAATGTTGAGCTAGAAAGATAACTTAATTCTGAGGGAAATACCCAAAGAATGTGATGCTGACACTGTCTCCCTTATCCTCTAATCACAACCCCTCTGGCCTGCATTTACCTCCTTAATTCCATTTATAGTATCCACAGTGATGTAGCTAAACATGAACACTATTGCCCTTCAATAAGCTGATTTCTATCATGTCTGAATATAGCATTCACACAGGAAAGTAAAATTCTACTCAGTTGTGAACATGCACTCTGTTCAGGATCTTTGGTACATCTGGAGTATAAGAAAATAATGGCACAATAATACAAGTACTATCAAAGGAAATTTTTTCATTAAAAAAAATAAAAGTTAACTAGCCATGATATGTAACAACTTCCTGAAAACCAACGTAAATAACTCTTTGTACTCTACAAGTCCATTTACATGATCAGAAGTTTGACATTTAAAAAAATAGTTTAATAAAAATACACTAGTTCTACAAGCAGCCTTCTTGGTCATTTCTTATATTCAACTCACTATAATCAAATTAAAATAATGCCATGTCCTCTTGTTAAAAAAGAAGTCCTCTTGTCACAGTAAAAGCAACTTTATATTTTATATAATATAGTACATCTCCCCTGTGAGTACACAGACTACGTATATAAAGGTCATCAGTATTTCTGAATGCAAAGCAAATATATTAGTGGAGCGCTTGAGTGAAGGTGTTAAACTTCCTCCTTGTTATAAACTTGCCACTCCTTACTATGGAGTTTGTGTCATAATATGATGATAAATTCTATTTTTTACATAACCAGTGTATTTCCTTTTTAAAATTTCTTAAAAGCGTTATAGAAATTGTCTTCATATGTATTCTATAGATATCCAAACCAATATGGCAAGTGTTCTAACATCAACTACTAGTATGCAAGATGGCTTTTATTGATTATCTAGACCCATAAGATTTGCAGTAAAACAGCAATACTGCAGTGTTACCTACAGGTTAGCCTATGTTGCTTTAAATGATATGTGTTTCTCCTGAATCGATTAAAGGTGTTACAGTATGAAGCCACAGTACACACAGGCAGAATGGACCTTAATACGCATGTAGGCAATGCAGTTGGAAAGGGATGTACGTTTCTTTTATTCCAGTACCTTCGTATAATAAAGTTAACAAAAATAATAAAATATTTTAAAAAACCCAAAAATGCCAGCTGGCACTGCCAACCAATTCCTATAGCAGTCTCAGAAATCCTAATCCTGTAGAATTTCCTCTTGTCATAAGCACCACCATCTTCAGGAGAATTTCCATGTATTGTTACCCACGCCGAGCAAGCCTGTGATGCAGCTACCTGAGTTCTTTTGGTTGGGGCGAGTGTGATCTTCATTCATAATTTCCCAGCTTTCATGTAGGTGGGGATAGAGCCACGCTGAGTCAACCCTTCAAACCTTTTATATGTGTAATTGAGGAAAACCCAGTCTTTGGATTTGTAGTCTGGTTCTGTGGTGTTTGGCACTAGAAAGATAGAAAGATTAACCAAGATCAAAATAACTTCATTAGGGAAAATGTCATCATTTTATAGATTTTTAATAGTGTTAGTTGTGTTGTAGATTGTCTTACCTGGTTGTAAAATATCAGATTCAGGAAAGTCATCAAAATTTGAAGTATCATCAATGCTTTTGATTCCTATAGGGATTGCTGCTGGCCTTTCCCTACAAAAAGGTATTGAGTAATCATGATAAATTTTCTTGAACTCTTAATTTTCCAAAAAATAATTCTACTTGAGAATTCTTCATGCTGTTCTATAGATATTAGAGGAGCCCAGGAAAGTTACACAAAAAGCTGTCTTAAAAGATGAAAAGGGGCTGGCCTGGCAGGAACGAGAGCAGGGAGGAGGAGAGCATTTCAGTCACAATGAATAGCAAATGACGGAGCTGTGAGGTAGGAAGAGTGGGAAAGATCACACAAGATGCAACCTGTAGCGATGAGATAAGAGCCATACCCCACAGTCCTGAAATGCAGTTTAAAATCCTTAATTTTATTCTAAGTGCAAAGGGAAGGAAGAAAATGTCATGATCAGTTTTATTTCTAAACTATTGCTATATGGAGAACTATTGAAGGTAGTTTGGCCATAAACTGAGTAAAAGCTAATGCTCACAATTAACAACTATAAGCAAATTCTTATCGGTCACATTATTTAACTTCTCCCATAATGTTTTAAAAGGGACTGTATCTTATACATTAATAAAGGAGACAAAATATGTATATTAACAAGAGGATAAAAATGAAATATTATAGAGTGAAATGTAAATACATCTTGGTTGTGCTAAAAGCCTTCATCATATAACTCTGGATACAAAATCCAAACAGGTGTACAAAATGTGATTTTTCCTCTACAACGTACATCAGTTAAAACCAGGCATTTAGCTATAGTCACTATAGTCTCACTTATATAATCTGGAAAACATTATAACAGTGTTACTTCTTGTACTTAATTTAGCAAAATCAGACAAATTAATCACCAAATCATTTTTTACTCTGACCTTTCCCATTCAAAGACTATGAACATACCTGATGTGCCCCCAGTCTACACCTTCAAAAAAAGGATGACCTTTTATTTCTTCTACTCCACTATTTCCAATTCTATTTTCAGAATCAATACAAAATCTAGAAAGTAAACAGAGAAATTACCATATGCAAATTACATCTAAAGTACTCTATTTGCATTATTTCAAACATTTCACTTTATTGCTTATTGATGTTATCTCTTTATTGTGGGAAATGTGGAAGAAAATATAAATCATCTGTAATTGCATCATTCAGAGATAACTACTATAAACAGGTTAAAGCCATTTCTGTCTAGTCTTTTACTGTAATTTAAAAAACATTATGTTGATCCAACAGTTACTATTTTAGGACTTTTTCCACTTAACATATTGAGAAAATTTCCCAAAATCATTAAAAAATTTTCTATAACTTCATTTTCATTTTTATATGCAAATATAATTTATTTAGCCAGTCCACCACTGTTGAACATTTAGATGTTTTTCAATTTTTCATTACTAATAGTATCAAAATAAACATATTATACCTAAATCTTTACACACATCTGATTATCTGCATAAGCAAAATTCCTAGAAGTAGAATTGCTGGGTCAAAGGTCATATACAGTATAAAGACTTTTCATAATATGCTGCCAATGGCTGTTCCCATAGGTTGTCCCAATTTATATTCCTTCCAGCCATTCACAACAGAATCAAAACACTTCATTTTAATTGTGAAACAGAATGGAATCCTTTGCTTAGATAAGATTTCATATAAAGACTTTTGTGATAGGAACTGCTCCTAACAACTTATTTTTCCTTTCCTCTTCAATGGGATAGGGTCATTGCATATTGCTTAAAAACACACACACACACACACACACACACACAACAGAGGAAAACCAAAGATGGCAGCATAAGGTATAAACCTGTACATGCTGCCCCCCACAACAACATTAAAACTACAACTAAAAGACAAAACAGCTATCATCCAGAACCACGGGAAAGCTGGCTGAGTGGAAGTTCTACAACTAGAAGGAAAGAAAAAAGCGCAGAGACTGTGTAGGAGGTACAGAGGCGCCAAGGGCAGAGGTATGGAGATGCGCACGAGGCGGGCTGCAACTGGGTGTGCGGTTTTTTTTCAATTGGAAGGGGATACAAGCTCCCGCAAATAGTGAATTCGTTTTCGGAGAGACTCTGGGGTCCCAGACTCCTATGGGGAGAAACTGGACTGTCTTGCAGCGGGTCAAAAGCGAGGGTGGCTTTCTCGCAGAGCGGCGCGCAGGGATCATTGTTACTGTGGGGGCGTGGGACTCGGGGAGTCACAGAGATGCCTGACGACAGCCATTGCTGTTTGCTCCACCCTGGTGATTCTCTGAGACCCTGCCCCACTCAATTTACATCCCCACCCAAGCTGTGCACAGCAGGGCAAAGGAACCGCCTGCCCTTTTGCAGCCTAACCTAACAAACTGTAGCTGGTTCAGAGAGCTCCAAAACTTCCAAACCCCAAACAAAGGGGAGAAATATGCTGATATCGCTGTAACTCCTGCTGGGTGGACTCACACAGTGGTTGACTTGAAGATTCAGGAGCCAGGGTACCCATTGGTCAGATACCAGATTTCAACTCCTCACATCCATAAGGGACACACTCAAGAGGCAGACTCAGTGAGCACCAAAGCCCCACTGAGGCAAGTCCTAGCCCATAAGGGTGTCTCAGCACAGCGGTTCTTCCACTATAGACACAGTGGGTCCTCGCAGTCAGCCAAAATGCGGAGACAAAGAAACATGTCACAAATGAAAGAAATGGAGGAAAGCAAACTAATGGAGGACATAGAGTTCAAAACCACAGTTATAAGGCTACTCAAGAATCTTCTGTGAACCTCCAAGG